CGATAAAGTAGACAACACTTTTAAAATGAAATAATATGAAGATAGCTACGAAAAATAAAGCGGGAACGAAAATTTATATTTATTTTTCAAACCAAATACTTTAAAAAATCTACCAAAATATAAAAAAGATTTACCTTTTTACCAACCCAAGTTTTTTCAACCAATTTTAGTAACAATTTACCAAAGTGGCAACCGTGGTTAGGGTTTCATCTGTGCCTTTGTGCGAAACTAAAAGTACGAAACGGTGCCATATGTTTGTTATAGAAAGCCGTCGAATATTTTGCATTTTCGCACTTTCGCTCAAACGCACACACTTTTGTCTTAAAGAGTGATTTCTATTAATGGGTGCAGCAGAATGAGATGGCGTACCATTTAAAAACAAAGGGATAGATTTGCACTTATTGCGACACATCCGACCGGCTTCTCGAAATCCGAGCTCATCCTGCATTGTCATAAATAAACGTAATTTACTTTGGTTGAAAAAATGTGTTGATTAATTTCCCAAAAAAAAAATCAGTTTGTTTTGTTAACCTTTTGGGAATGAATGACGGTTTTTACAAGTGCTGCCACAAAATAGTTAGCCGAGTTGGAGCTTTCTTTTGCAACTCGTTTACAATTTAACGCTATAATTTACGTTTTTTTTAGACTAAGTGGGATGTTTTTCCATGTCGAAGACCTGGTCACATTGATGAGTGTATTCGTGCAGCAAATTTTTTATAAGCACTGAAACATAGCTGCATCTATTCAAATTTGAATTTTCAGTATGATTTTTCAGCAACGCGATGATGCGAACAAAAATCATAATTATTTCAATGAAAATTTATTTTTTAATAGGAATTTTACGAAAAATCCACAAATATCTCAATACGAAAAGCTCCGCTGCAAAGCATCCTCCACATTCTTCCGATTTCGTGTTTTTTCATAAGTTACTTCAAATAATCACAACACTCACCATTCACCACCGGACTGGTCGTTCCAACCTGGAAATGTTGCTCACTTTCACTACTGGGATATTCCGCACCGCTTATCCGCATGCCGTCACGCATATTATCCTCTATTATTGTCAAATTTGCAATAGCGCATATAAATTTCAACACATCAAACCCGCTCACATTTAAATATTGCAAAAATG